CAGGTCTCCCACGTGGGTAGCAGAGGCCCAGGAACTTGGGCCTTCTGCTGCTTTCCCAGGTGCATTAGCAGGCAACTGGATCAGAAGTGGAGCAGCCAGGGCTTGAACTTGCGCCCATATGGGATGCTGTCACTGCAAGCCTTGGCTTAACTGGCTGTGCCACAGTGCTGGTCCCTTATTTTTATTTTAAAAAATATATTTATTTGAGAGCCAGAAAGACAAGGAGAGATGGAGAAGAGAGAAAGAGAGAGACAGAACTCCCATCTACTGGTTCACTTCCTACATGTCCCCAAAGGCCAAAGCTGAGAGTCAGAAACTCAATTCAAGTGTCCCACAAGAGGGACACCCTCCTCCAACTATCTGAATTTCAAGCCCCACAAAATCTGGATCTCCCCTGTAATCTAAGTTGCTGTCATACAAACCCACTGTTTACTTTACCCCTCCTTGTCCCATTGAATCTTTTCTTTTTTAAAAGATATATTTATTTATTTGAAAGTCAGAGTTACACAGAGAGAGAGGAGAGGCAGAGAGAGAGAGAGAGAGAGAGAGAGATCTTCCATCCACTGGTTCACTCCCCAATTGGCCACAACGGCCGGAGCTGCGCCAATCTGAAGCCAGGAGCCAGAAGCTTTTTCTGGGTCTCCCACATGGGTGCAGGGGCCCAAGGACTTGGGCCATCTTCTACTGCTTTCCTTGGCCATAGCACAGAGCTGGATTGGAAATGTAGCAGGCAGGACTCAAACTGGCGCCCATATGGGATGCCAGCACTGAAGGCTGGGTCTTTAACCACTACGCCGCAGTTCCCCCATTGCATCTTTATTGAGCCACCCAAGAGGGAGATGAAGAGACAGTGCAGAGGGGTAAAAGGCCCAGGAGCAGTGAGAGTGGCTGGGAAGAAAACAGGCAACTGAGAGCTGGCAGGGGTTAGAAGGGTGGGTGCAGATCAAGGGCAGGTGAAAGTGGCCAGAGGTGGCAGGAGGGGAACCGCCTGCTCCCGGGACACTGTGTGTCGTACAATAACAGGAGGTGTCATGTCCCCTCTAGGTGTTGGCCTACATCAATGGGGTCCTGTCAGGCAAACCTGAAGCCTCCCTGGTCTACACCATGCCCTCCCGGAACGTGTCCATGCGGCTGAAGGACCTCCGGGAGAAGGACTCGGGCTTTTACCGCTGTTCTGTGAATATTCAAGACAGTTCCGGCACCAACAGGGGCCACAGCAGTAAAACGCTAGAACTCAATGTGCTGGGTGAGTGAGAAGCACACGGCTCAGGCTCAGGCAGGTCTCTCCCGGAAGGGTGGGGGAGGGGCAAATGGGTGACAAGGGGTTGTGTGGGGAGGGGAAGGGTCTGCGGGTTCCGGGTCTGTGCGATTCAGTCCGTCTGCCCTTCTCCAGTGCCTCCAGCCCCTCCGTCCTGCCACCTGCTGGGTGTGCCCCGCGTGGGGGCCAATGTGACCTTGATGTGCCAGTCCCCAAGGAGCAAGCCCACGGCCCAGTACCAGTGGGAGGGGCCACCACCATCCTCCAAGATTTTCTTTGCACCAGTTGCAGGTGAGGAACCTTCGGGAAACAACTGAAGCTGTGGCCAGGGAGGGGGAGAATGAGAGGTACCACAGGAACAAGGATGGAAAGAGGAAGCAATGTTAAAAAGTACAACAGAAGAGGAGGATGTTGGGAGGAGGATGGAGAAGCAGGCCCTAGCAGGTGCAGACACAGCATGAGTTGTTTCCATGTGCGTGCGCTGTCTCAGGAGTGCCTCTGGGGCTCGACTATCTGTATTCAAACTCCAGCTGTGTGACTCTGTGCCTCCATTCCCTCACCTACAAACTGGGCCTATCAGTAGCCTTGATTTTACACCTCAGCTCTAAAAATATTATAGGGAGAATTGAACATTTTAGATATGAAATGAGAATTATTAATTTCTTAGGTGTGACAATGGTATTGTGGTTATGTGGGATAATTTCTGCATTTTGGGAGATTCATGCTAAAGTATTACTTTAAAATATTTCAGAAAAAGAGGGAGATGAAATAAGTATGGGAAAATGGTAGCATCTGCTGGATATAGGGGGTAGGTGTATGGATTTCATTTTGCCCCGCCTCCTTTCACTTGACTATTTGTATAATACAGTCCTTTTCTTTTTAAAATGTTTATTTATTTGAGAGAGAAAAGAAAGAGCGCTCCCATCCAGTTGTCCACTGCTCCTGAGCTGGGAATTCAGTGCAGATTTCCCCTGTGAGTGCCTTGGACCCAACTTCTAGAGTCATGACCCACTGTTCCCCGAGTGTGCAGGAACCTGGAATTGGGAGAGGAGCCGGACTTGAACTCAGGCCTTCCGATATGGGTTGTGGTTATACCAACCAGAGCCCCAACTCGTAGGCCAAATGCCCACCCTCTTTTCTTTTTCTTTTTTAAAAATATTTATATTTATTTGAGAGGCGGGGGGGGGGGGGAGTCTGCCATCTGCTTGGTCTCTCCCCAAATGGATGCAACAGTTGGAGCTGAGCCAATCCGAAACCAGGAGCCAGAAGCTTCTTCCAGGTCTCCCACGTGTCTGGCAGGGGCACAAGGACTTGGGCCATCTTCTGCTTTTGCAGATGCATTAGCAGGGAGCTGGATCAGAAGTGGAGCAGCTGGGACTTGATCCAGTGTCCATATGGGATGCTGGCACTGCAGGCAGAGGCTTCACTTACTATGCCACAGTGCTGGGCCCTCCCTTTCCTTTTTTAAAAGAGTAGTTGCTTCCTAGGTTTGTTGTGAAACTTTGGTAAGTTAGAGTGTGTCAAACAGAGCAGGCTTAGGCATGGAGTGGGCAGCCAGCAAAGAGGAACTGTTATGGGGATTGAGCCATTGAATCCTCTCGACAGCATCAGGTCGGTCAGCCTAGGATTGTCTTATTTGACAGATGATGGAATGGAGACTCAGGGGTATCAAGCTTAAGGTCCCACACCCTATTCTGCACTGGTTCTTAGCCTCATGTTCTTTCTTTCTCATCACTCTGTCCCTTAGAAATAAAAGTAAAAATCATGTCTTGGTTTGGCTGTGCCTGCCTTTGTCTTTAGCAGCCCAGGTCACTGAGGAGTGCAAGTGGACAGGGGTACTGAGCAGCCAGGCTGCAGCTGGGGGTCCGGCTCACTGGCCGCCCTGCCTTTCTCCTTCACCAGGGAATAGACACACTGTGACTCCCAGAGAGTCTAAGAAGACCTTCTAGATTCAATTTTCCCTGTGAGAAAGGATCCCCGATCTGACGGTTACATTGTTTCCACAGATGTCATCCGCGGGTCTTTAAGGCTCACCAACCTTTCCACGTCCATGTCTGGAGTCTACATCTGCACAGCCCACAACGCGGTGGGCAGTGCCCAGTGCAACGTGACGCTGGAAGTGAGCACAGGTCAGTGAGGAGTGAGGGCAGCTGGGGAGAAGAGTGCTCACTGCTGGGACGGGGTTGCAGAAGGGGCAGCAGCCCCTCTGCTGGGGCCTCTAAGTATAGCAGGACATGGGGCTTGCCCTGGCCAGACACTGGTCCAAGTGTTTGCTCAGTGAGTGGCCGTTTTCTGCTTACAGCCACACATGGTCTGTCTTTTTCCATTAGGAAGAGGGGTGGGCAACAGCGGGGTATCTCCACTGACACAAAGGCTTTTTCAGGGCCCGGTGCTGCTGTGGTTGCTGGAGCTGTTGTAGGCACCCTGGTAGGGTTTGTGCTGCTGGCTGGGCTGATCCTCTTGTACCAGCGCAGGGGCAAGGCTCTGGAGGAGCCGGCCAATGATATCAAGTAAGTGTCCCTGGCCTCTGCGGATGGGGCTCTGCCGGCTCCCCTTACAGTCTGGGGATCCAGGCAGGTTTTAAGGGGGAGGGAGAAGGGGATTGAGGAGGAAGAGGAGTGGTGGGGTATGGCACACTGTGGAGAAACTCTCCCTTCCTGCCGCCTCCTGCCTCTGACTTCTCTACTTCTTCTATGACTAGGGAGGATGCGGTTGCTCCCCGGACCCTCACCTGGCCCAAGGGCTCAGACACAATCTCCAAGAATGGGACCCTGTCCTCCGTAACATCAGCACGAGCTCTCCAGCCACCGCACAGCCCTTCCAGGCCTGCTGCTTTGACCCCTACGCCCAGTCTTTCCAGCCAGGCCCTGTCCTCACCCCGGCTGCCCAGAACAGACGGGGCACCCCCTCAGCCCGTATCCTCCAGCCCTGGTGGGGTTTCTTCTTCTGCCCTGAGCCGCATGGGTGCTGTGCCTGTGATGGTGCCTGCCCAGAGTCAGGCTTGGTCTCTGGTGTGACGGCCCAGCCACTCACTGGCTTACTGTCTGGTTGGTGGCTCCTCTTCCCATAGGGGTCAACCCTAGCACAGAGGCCTGAGTCTTGGGAGGGTAGCCACACTCGAGACCGCCAGGCCTCAGCCCCTACCTCTCTTTTCTGTGGGAAAGCTACGTTTCAGTGAGACCCAAATGCCTAGGAAGTGGCAGGAGAGGAGGAAGTGCATCTGTGATAGGGAGGGGCCTAAACCCTCCTCCACCCCTCCCTATGAAGCCAGCTGAATGCTGCCCAGATTAGCCACACAACAGGGGCCCTGTAGGACACTGCCAGTCCAAGAGTGCCCCCAGGCCACCTGGACCTGTGCCCCACCCATATCTAATGCCATCCTTTGCTCCCACTCCCTGCATTCATATAACCTGTCCTGCTGGCTTGGCTGGGTTTTGTTGGGGCAGGGGATAGGGAAGCTATTTTTTAAACTAACTTGAAATGTGTGTTTTTTGCCTTTATTTTGAAAATTTTAATAAAGATACATTGGATTTGCGTGGAATAAGAATCAAGTTTTCTTTTCAAACTAGGAATTTTCCAGAAACTGAGCATCAGGTTGCTGCAAAGTGGGCCCCTACCCATGCTGCACAGCCAGGAGGGGCTTCTCCTCTCAGCCTCAGGGCTTGCTGGCGCAGAATAGCTCTTCCAGAGTTGTCAGAAGGGTCCCTTGCTGTCATGTGGAGGGGGCAGGGTACAAAGAACATGAGCTACTGGGATGCCAGCCTACTCTGGCAGGGAGCATGAAGCAGGTGCACTTGCTGCTGGAGCGTGGGTGCTCAGGGCTTGAGTGTGCATTGGCTTTCATCTCTTCTTCCTTCTCTTCTTCTTCTTCTTCTTCTTTTTAAGATTTATTTATCTATTTGAAAGGCAGAGTTACAGAGATGCAGAGGCAGAGAGAGAGAGAGAAAGGTCTTCCATCTGCTGGTTACTCCCCAGATGGTAGCAACAGCTGGAGCTGCACCAATCCGAAGCCAGGAGCTTCTTCTGGGTCTCCCACGCGGGTGCAGGGGCCCAAGGACTTGGGCCATCTTCCACTGCTTTCCCAGGCCACAGCAAAGAGCTTGATCAGAAGTGGAGCAGCCGGGACTCAAACCGGTGTCCATATGGGATGCCGACACCACAGGCAGCGGCTCCACCCGCTATGCCACAGCACCAGCCCCTTTCATCTCTTCTTAATCAGGGAGAGGGGACGGCAACCAGACTCATGCTCCTTTTTCCCACACCACTGATTCACTAACAAGCACCGGTCCCTCTCGTTACTGAGGGTACTGCAGGTAAGCCGGGCAGAGGATGGATGGCTGTTTCTGTCCCAGTGCACTGTGCCCTTTCCTAACAACAATGAGGTCGCCTCTAGGTCTCAGTTTCCCTGTCCTTAAAATGGAGAGGGAATGGGCTTTGGAAATGGGAAGGAAGTTGTAGTGTTCACGGACTCTCAGACCCCAGCAAGTGATGAAGAGGGAGAGGGGCCTGGCAGGACAAAGAATCTGTAAGTGGGCCAGAAAGGCTGTGAGGCCTGGGGCTCAGCCTCGCTCTGTGGGCTCCCAGTATGCCAGCTCTCAGGGTACCCGATGGCCTCCTCCTCCTACAAAGTCACTCTCTCCCCAACAACCCTTCCCAGGAGGGTGCCCACCCCATGCCCGGCTGGGAAACCAGCGCCCGACCAACTGACAACTTCAGAAATGGGGAGAAGGGGAAAGGAGGAAGAACAAGGTAGAGTGAGTCCTGCATCAGGCCCGCAGGAGGGAGGAGCGTTTCCCTACCTGAGGGTGCTGGCCTCTCCCCTTGTTTGCTCTGAGATAGCTGTCTCGCTCCTGCCCAGCGCCGGGTGGCTGCCCTGCGGGCACTCCCTTCTCCAGACCTGGGCTCCCAGACTGACCAACAGACGACGGCAGGACGGCAGGACGTGGCATGGCTGGGCTCCCGGGGCCTTTCCTCTGTGGGGCCCTGCTGGGCTTCGCATGCCTAAGTGGTGAGGAGGGGCTGGGCCAGAGCTGGGGTCAGAGGCCTGGTGACCTACTTCCTGGGGGCTGCTCAGTCCGGGCCAGCCAGGCTGGGACTGCCGTGTGGGGCCGGGGCCGCCCGGGTCGAGGCTGGGGAAGGGACGTGAAGGGCCAGGAGCGCAGAGGAGGCGAGTTCAGCTGGTGGCCATGGTTTACCCACCGCAGCACTATTTCTTGTTTTGTTTTTTTCCTGCCAAACACGCCCTCATACCAGGCCCGGTCTTGGCCCTTTTACCCACAAAACGCCGCCGGGCCCTGGGCCCAATCTTCCTTTCTGGGAAGGCGGGACTGGACTGAGGAGTGGGACGCCCTCTGGGGACCGAGCCCCCGGACCCTCCACATGACCGGGATATGGTCCCCACCTCCCTGTGCCCTCCACAGCCCCGGGGCTAGCAGTGGAGGTGAAGGTGCCAGCTGAGCCTCTGAGCGCGCCCGTGGGCCACACTGCCGAGCTGACCTGCAGCTACAGCACGTCGGTGGGAGACAACTTCGCCCTGGAGTGGAGCTTCGTGCAGCCGGGGAAGCCCATCTCGGAGTCTCATCCCGTAAGCAGAGAGCCACTGCCTGGGGTGGGGTTGGCCAGGGCTAGGGGCAGTATGCTGGGCTGGAAAGCTAGGAGGGCCTTTCCTAGGTCTTCTCAGGGCTATAGTCGCTGGACTCGGTCACCCCTTCCTCCCCCATAGCTCTACATCCAACTCCACTATTCGTGCGTCCAGTTTCAGTACACAAACCCGTGGACACCAGGGTGTTTGCGGCCCATTGCAGGGAAATATGCTGCCCCTTCCAGGCATAGCTGCATTCACTCACCCTACGCGTAGCTGAAAGCAGAGAATCATTTATCACTGGCAGGGGACGGTGTGTGGGGACCATGGGCTTGCCCTGTCCCTGGTTGGTGTAAATGAGGGACATCTTGGGGTTGGCACCATGGCTCACTTGGTTAATCCTCTGCCTGCCACACCAGCATCCCATATGGGCACTGGTTCTAGTCCCGGTTGCTCCTCTTCCAATCCAGCTCTCTGCTGTGGCCCTGGGAAGGCAGTGGAGGATGGTCCAAGTGCTTGGGCACCTGCACCCTCATGGGAGACCAGGGAGAAGCGCCTGGCTCCTGGCTCCGGATTGCTGCAGCGCCGGCCGTGGCGGTCATTTGGGGAGTGAACCAACAGAGGGAAGACCTTTCTCTCTGTCTCTGTCTCTCACTGCCTAACTCTGCCTGTCAAATAAAAAAAAAAAAAAAAATGAGGAAGGATGGTAGAGTTCGTGCCCGGCAGGAAAAGGCACACATTTGCCTCCTTCCCTCCGTAGATCCTCTACTTCACCAGTGGCCATCTGTATCCCACCGGTTCTAAGGCCGAGCGGGCCAGCCTGCTCCAGAACCCCCCCACAGGAGGCGTGGCCACCCTGAAACTGACGAAGGTGCGGGCCTCGGACACCGGGACCTACCTCTGCCAAGTTAACAACCCGCCAGATTTCTACACCAATGGGTTGGGGCTGATCAACCTTACTGTGCTAGGTAAGGCAGGCTGTGGACCCACCACCACCCCCGTGCCTCAAAGCATGCAGTGGCCCTGCTGAATGGCCCCTTGTGCTGATTTCCAGCCCTGCGCTTAGGGCCCCAAATCTAATCTCGATGGTCAACCGCCAACCTCACATTCCATAGGGACTGTCTCCTCCCTTGGGGCCTGGTAACAATGGATCTGGGAGAGAAAGGTCTTCCCATGTGTGGGGATCTGAGTCACGTCCCCACTAGCTCCAATGGCCTGGAAACCTCCCAAGGTCAGGGACAGGGGAGTGGCCATTAAACACTGAGCACCAACTTTGTGTGCAGAGCTTCCTTGTGATCTCAAACTAGAGCCTGCTGAGAGAGAGCCACTCAGAGAAACTTTTACCGAGACCAAGTGGGAGAGGGAAGACGGAGGATGTGGTGGCTGACTGCTGTATTCAAATATCTGAAGGGCTCTTAGTGTGGAGCAGGGATTTTAGTTTTTCTTCCGTGAGCCCAGAGGGCAGGAACTGGAACCAATAGGCGGCTGTTAAATTGACACAGATTCTGGCTCCACACGAGGAAGAATGTTCTAACTATCAGCATTTCCAGCAGTGGAAATCATTGCCCGGGGATTCAGCAGTGTCTGAACAGGAGCGAACCTGTTTGGTAGCGGTATCGAAGCAGGAAATGGAGCACTTCGCGGGGGTGGGGTTAGACGATGGCTAACGCGCTGTGGTTTTGCAGTGCCCCCCAGTAGACCCCTATGCAGCCAGAGCGGGCGGACCTCTGTGGGAGGCTCTGTGGCCCTGAGATGCACCTCTTCCGAGGGAGCTCCCAAGCCAGTGTACAATTGGGTGCACCTTGGATCTTCTCCGACACCGCCTCCTGGAAGTGCGGTTCAAGGTAAGGGCCCAGGGCATCAGGAGGAGGAAATCTAAGCCCCTGGGGGAATCTAATCTCTAAGCCCCACCCACCCACATTGCCAGGGCTATGAGGAGGGGAATGAGATAACGGCATTGCCTTTCCCCTGCCTTTTCCTTGGCTTCCTGTATTGTTCCCTTCCAGTTTCCCTTCCTGCATAGTCTGTGGCTGGGTACTCCATTCTTAAGCTGAACACACGCCTAATGTCCCACAAGGGCAGGAGCATCCTGAGACTTCCCACTGCCTGCTTTGGGAGGGGTGTCTCTTTTAGATTTCTGAAAGGTCATGAACTTCCTAGAGAGGGAGCTGAGGCAGAGGAGTATGGGCTCCCTGAAATCATTTAACCCAGCTTCTTCAGAGGGACCATGTATACATCAGAGCCTTAGCCTCTCCCCTTCTTCTTGTGGGCTACAGTCTCCCCTTTCCTCCACTGTAGCCAAAGCCCTAGCAAACCCCTTCATCTATCCAGGAGCCCCTCCCCATCACCTCCTGATGTGTTCTCTGCCTTCTGAAATAAAGGTAAGCAGTTTGGAAAGGCATTGGGGTCTGCTTAGACCCACCCCCTAGCAGATGCAGTTTTAGAAATCAAGCTTCTATCTTTAAGCAGGACCCCAATATCAGCAGGTAAGCACCCCGAACCCCAGCACAGTTGCTGAACCCTTCATGTGTGAGCTGTCCTCTACCCAGGGAATGGCGGCTGCTTTGGCATTCCCCTGTGGGTAAATGATTTCCTTTCTCTGAGCCAGTTTCCCCACCGAGAAACTGAGGTTAGTCCTTTCCTAACGGGAGCGTTGTAAGAGTGAAATGCAACGTGCTTTCCTTATAGCAGGTGCTCACTGTGGCTTGAATGAGTGGTGGAACACTTCTTCTTCCCTCTCTAGATGAAGTGTCTGGCCAGCTCATTCTCACCAATCTCTCCATGAGCTCCTCGGGCACCTACCGCTGTGTGGCCACCAACCAGATGGGCAGTGCGTCTTGTGAGCTGACCCTCACTGTGACCGGTAGGAGATGCTGGGCAGAAGCCAGGTGGCAGGCTTTGGGTTGAGGAGGCTGCATGAAGGTGTCTGAGCATGGGCCAAGGAGGGCTTGCAGCTCTGAGGGTCTTGTTCTCCTTACAGACTCCTCCAGTGGTCGAGTGGCCGGGACTCTGATTGGGGTGCTCCTGGGAATTCTGCTGCTGTCGGTTGCTGTATTTTGTCTGCTCAGGTTCCAGAAAGAGAGGAGGAAGAAGCCCAAGGAGACATATGGGGGCAATGACCTTCGGTGAGCATGAGGGCTGGGGGGCAGTGCGGACAGGGAGGAAAGGGTTTGGGTTAAAAGTGGGTGCTTTCAGCCCTTAAACTCTGACATGCATTGCTACAAATGTTTAGGGGCAGGGGATGCTGCTCAGCCCTGGAACTGGGTGGCTGTGGCAGCAGTACAACTTGTGTAATCGGAGTGTGTGAGCAAGGGCTACCGCATGGAGGGGTCGAGTCACAAGCCGGGGAGATGGCTCAGTTTGCAGGGCTGCCTTGACACCCCTCATGCTTAAGGAAAGGTTGACTTAGGTTTTTAAGGCACTTGAATGTACAGTAACCACTTGGAAGGAGTGGTGAGAGGTGGATGTCAGGAGCTGGACTTGTTCTGAGCATTTGGCTTAGTTCTTCTGTGTGGAGCCATCAGCAAGAGAGAAGCGAATGCTGCCCCTGTCATCCATTACAGCGAATAGTCATAAGGTGCAAGGGATCAGAGCAGTGTTCTTGAAGCATGGTCCCTGGGTGACCTGGACAGGAATCACCAGAATGGCAAATGCTCGGATTCAGGCCACTTCTGAGCCTCCTGGACCAGACTTGTGTGCTTTATCTATGTGTACATGTGTGCAGGGGTTGGGGGGGGGAGGGTGATGGGGCCTGGGATCTTGATTTTAATCAAAGGCCCACAGTCCACAGACAAGTCTTCTGCACAGCAATCTCTAGGAGTCCCTCGGCTGGAGGATGGCCCCAGGCTCACTAAGAATTTGCCTATGACCCTCAGGGTGGATGCCGTTGCCCCTGGGATTTCTGAGCAAACTTCTCTGCCAGCGGATGCTAGTACAGGGCTCCTGGAGAGGTCCCCGTCTGCCAGCACTGTGACGACCACCAAGTCCAGGCTCCCCATGTTGGTCTGACTTCTTCAATCCCCGAGAGCAGCGAGGGAAACATCAATAAAGTCTTTGGGTACCATATTGTCTCCCTCTTCTTGCAGCGGCTACGGCAAATTCCTCTAGGCAGCCCAGATTGTTATCATTAGTAAAAGACGTGCGAGAGAGGATGCTGTATAGGCAGGAAGCTGGAGTGGTCACACCAGGGTGGGTTTCAACCCAGCTGCTTCTGCACTTCACTCCCAAAGATTTGGTCAAGTGAGACCTGTTCAGGAGCCAAGCGGTGGCTCTGTGCACCCAAACTCCCTCCCCTCCGGCACCCTGTGAACACTTGGACATTCCTCTTTATTGTTCACATTCCAACCCAGCACGGTCACATGCACACACGGAGATTAAAACCCTTCCGGCCACAGCCCCAGGAGCCCGGCGGGGGCGGGGCCGACAGGGGCGGGGCCGCGGAAGACTCCTCCTACCGAGCCTCCCTGGCGCTCGGCACTAGCGTCAACAGCAAGAGAGCTGGAGAGGCTGCTCTCGGGGGTTGCGCTGGGGAAGAAGAGGGGGGAGATGACAGGCGGGTGGGATCACGGCAAGGGGCACCCGACACCATACAATCCCTCTTCCCCTCCCTCCTCGGCCCAGAGCTAAATTTATGGGGCTAGGGTGGGGGCGGGAACCGCACAGAAACGCAGGGCGCCCCCTTTAGCTGTGCACAAAAAGAAAGGACTTTTTTTTTTTCTTTTTTGAAAGTGAGTGTACTTGGGCGACGCTTAGGGCGCCCCCTGCAGGGCGCGCAGGAAAACGCCCCGAGGCCGCGGAGGCAAAGCTGCATGCAGGGTGCGGGGCGAGGTGGGCCAGAAGCCAAAGGAGGAAAATTGGGGTACGCGGGGAGGATTGGGACCACAGCGGCCAGGAGGACTAACTAAAAGGGCGCGGACTTAGCGACTCCGCGACGGAGCCTGCCTGGGAAAGAGTCTCTGGGACGCAGGGGGCTCCTGGAGCGGTCGGGTTGGTAGGAACGAGGGGGGCACAAACACGGCAGGGAAGTCTCGTGGCTGCGAAGGGGGCGCGGCGTCCATCTCTCCTCGGGAACTGAGGACAGAGAAGGTCTGAGAGCCTGGCCACTGCTGGAACTGCCTCCCCCCCACCCTTCCCGAGCCGGGGTACCAGGGCGGGGCCCCAGTCACCCAGAACCGCCCACCCCGAGTCGCTGAGCTGAACCGAGTTCCGTGGCAGGTGCGCGCGCGTGCCGCGGTGTTTACGGCCCCCGGCCCGGGCTTGTGCAGCCAAAATGAGGGGTGAATGCCTATCTGGGTTGGCTCAGGTGTGTCCCCGTCGTAGCCTCAGGCATCTCGATGAGAAAACCCAGGTGCAGGTGCATGTTCCGGGGCGCGGAAGGTCATAGGGAAGGGTCGGGAATTTGGTGCTTTCCTCCCCCTCAGGGAGCCCACCCCGCCGCTTCGAGTCCTGTTCATTACCTTCGAAAATGCTCAGTTCTTCGGTCCCGGGGAGGGCAGAAAGGAGGGCGAGCAGCGAGAAACAGGTGAGTGCTCGGAACCACAGCCCCGTCAGCCTCCTCCCAGCCCCCTCCACCCCAACCCGCTCCAAAGCCTCGGATTTCCAGCCCCCAACCCTGAGTTTCCTGCACACCCCTCTCCACCTACCCCGCCCGCCCTCAGTGCCCCTCGGTCCTGCGGAGGAGCGCTGGGGAAGCAGCGCCCCCTGCCGGCGTCGTCCCGCCCGCCTCACCTGGCCTAGTCTCCGCTGGAGCCGCCGCCCGCGCCTCCCCGGGCGCCCCCGGCTCCGCCCGGCCCCCCGGGGCCCGGGCCCTTCCGGCCGCGCTCTCCGCTCTTTATCTTCTTCCTCGCCATGTGGCCCCGGAAACTCGCCTGGATTTTGGCAGCGGCCGCGTTGGCCCCGGGATCGTCCAGCGGAATGTCTAGGATGTCGTCGTCTGGCTTGGAACAGGCGCTCTCCTGGGGGAGGAGGGGTGAGGGAGGACGAGGGGTGAGGGAGGACGAGGAGGGAGAGGGTTCTTGTGGGGTGACTGGGCAGAGACCCCGAGGGGATGCAGAGAGGGGGTGCCAAGGGTGTGGAGAAGGGCTGGGGCAGGGCTGTGGACCAGCTGTGTTTGTGTGTGTCCTGGGGCAGCGGCAGGCACAGAGAAAACTTCTGGACAAGGGGGCGGTTGTTTGCTGGAACCAGGAAAGTGCAGGTGGTGCAGGACACTAAAAAGCCAGAGAGCCCTGCATGGGTCAAAGGCACAGGACCTGCGGCTGAGTTACAGTAGCTGCAAAAGCTGAGTGGAGAGTGAGTTCGGAGGAGCAAGGGAGACAGCACCAGGCACTCCAGGATGTGGCCGCAGGCCCCGGGGTTCTCAGAGCGGGGTGGGGGTGGGGGTCTCCAGCTCCCAGGGACCACTGGATTCCTGAGGTCAGGGTGTGGAAGGCTCAGCAAGTCCTCCTTTCCCTTAGTAGACACACACCGCTGTTCACAGCTGGAAGCAGAGCCAGGAGCAGCTACTGCCCAGGGCGTCAGCCTCTTCCCACCTAGGGCTAGCCGCCCAGACACTGTTTGCCCAGTGACTCTCCATTTTCCACTGATCCCCAGGAGGAACTCAAACACAGACAAGAGGAGATAGTCCAGAAGGAGTGACAGAGAAAAGGCTTCACTCCAAAAGCAAACACCCCCCCCCCCAAAGAAAGGATCAGCGGGAGCAAGAATCCCTTCCTTGGTGTGCTCATGCGGAAAAGGGAATTAGCACAGCACCTCTCATTTAAGTGCTTACTCTGTCCCGGGTGTGGTAACACAGTGTTTCACAGGCATTATTTAATTTCCTCTTCAACAATAAAGCTGTGATATACCTCCTTATTAGTACTCTAATTTACTCCTAATAAAAGCAGTGATTGGGGCTTAGTTTACAAACCTACCTGAGGTTACATGGATACAGGTTGCCCATTGCTTATCTGAAATGTTTAGGACCAGGAGTATTTAAAATTTCACCTTTTTCCTAGGTTTTGAATAGCTCATTATGTAATTACAAATATTCCAAACTCTGAAAAGATAAGCGAAAGAGCTGGGAAGGTCTTTTTCCCCCTTGGGGATGATGAATAAATCCTGTGTGTGTGCCTGCATTTTGATTGCAACGTGACATGTGAGGTCAGATATGGAATTTTCCAGGTGGGTGTGTTTTTTCAACTCTCAAAAAGTTTTGGACTTTGGAGCATTTTGCATTTTCAGATGAGAGATGTTCAATCTGTAGTCAGTGGTGGACCTAGGAGTCGTATGTCAGAGTCCAGAATGTATTTATAGCCCCTACCCTGTAGGATAAGTAAATACAGCCCAGAAAACAAACTGAGGCTCTTTCACCTCCTGTAATTGCATGGTCTAGAGCAAGTTACCTAATCATTTCCTATCTAAGCCCCTTCATATGGAAAACCGGGCTAATAGTACCAATACCTATAGGTTGTCGGGAAGAGTAAACAGCATGATATGCATAAAGCTGTGGCACAATCTAGTCACTCAATAAATAGTAGCTATTACAATGGATATTTTAAATAACAGTGAGGTGAAGTGGAATAATTGTTTTTCTAGGCAAAATGTGATCATACAATAACAATTTCACATGGCTCAGCCCAATAATATCCAGACCCACCTCCATGCCCCAAAGCAGTGTTCTGTTTCTCTAACAGCCTACCCTAGCTGACAGCAGGCTTAGGGAATTGGTGGGATCCATTCTGGGCAAGGCTCTGGAATGGATCAGCCCCTGAGCCTGGTTCCAGCGGTAGGGTGGATTGGGAAGGAGACGATGACTGTGCAGTCAGAGGGAGCTTCTCCTCGGATCTGGTCCTTTGGCTCCTAGGAAGTCACATTCATTTTTTTGTCTGAGGACTTATACTGAGATGCCCAAGGTCTCACACAGTAATGGCAATTGGGTTCCACTTTCTCCTCTTCCCCTACACCACCCTTCTGGTTCTCCTAAGTGGGTGGGAGATGTGTGAAGCTTCCATCAGCATCATCTCAGCCAGGTCTGCCTCAGGTGCACAGACCGAAATTCTAGAAAACCAAGCCCAGTTCTAGAGAAGGTTCCCTTCACCATGCTTTCCAAGGCAATCCTCATTTCCCAGGCTTCAAACTACTTCCGTTTTGTGCTCAAGATGCCCACCATCCACGTAAACACCATTAAAAGGAGTTAGCAAGGGGCAGGTGTGTCGTGGCCCAACTCTCACTCTCTTTGTCTTTCCCAGGTCTAGAGCTCTCCCTGACATCTCATTCCTCACCAAAAACCAGAAACAACTGCTTTGGGTTCTTTTGATTCTCAGAGCTTAAGCCTTTCTTGGAACAGTCTCAAGGAGCAAAATGAGCTGCTTCTCAAAAACAACCACAGAAAACCATTTCCACCCCCTTCTTCTCCTTGGCCTCGGCAGCTGCGAAGGGGTGGGGAAGTTGAGCGGAGGAAGGGGTATCTTCCCCCAACCATGTGAAGACCAGACCTGCTGTCACCACCCACCCCAGCTGGATCCAGGATGAAAACCTGGAACAAGAGGCAAAGCCACCCCCAACACTCTGCTTCCCCACAGAATCAACCCTTCTCCCTCCAGCTGAATTTTCAAGATGGAGCTGCTAAGAGGTAGCCTGTCCACAGGGAGAACCGGAGGGAGGGTGAAAAGGAATCCGGGCAGGAGCTCATTGGTGAAGGTGCCTAGGCTGGTGCCTTCCAAAGCCAACTCTGATGGCGTAAGTCGGAGAGCTCTGCAGGAACTGGGGATCTCTGGGAGAGGAAAGTGTGCCCGTCCACAAAGCAGAAGCCATGGCTTCTGGTCCCAGCTGGGCACATCACTTCGCCTCTGATCGTCTCATTTTCTTCAGCCACAGCTAGAACTTGACCTAGATGAACAAAGTCGCCTTCATCTCTCAAATCCCAATCGCCTTAGGATCTGCCCTGCCTGTGCCTGTGATGCATCAGGTCCCGTGCTAAGCGCTTTGCACATATTACCTCATTTAATCCCCATTTTAGAAGTCAGGAAACAGCCTCAGAGATCTAACTTACTCAGACTTGCACAGCTGACAGACAGTGTGATTGGATTCAGTGGTCTGTGTTGCTTATCACTGGCTCAGGGTAGGTTACTTCTATTAATTCAGCCAGATCAAGTCAACTAGACTAAGCAAAGGGAAGGAATAGGAGCCAGAAAAAATGTTTCTTTGCCTCTTCATATTAACCAAATGCAGGAAAAGCATATATATATATATAGATATAGATATAGATATATATATGGCGATGTAAATCAGCAACTGGAACATTTGACTCAACAGCTCTGTCTCCTAAAAGATAACAAAACAAATCTGCTTTCTTCTTCCTTATTTCTGTTTCAGCCTCCTTAGCAAGAGGACAGAAGAAGTAAGGCAGCACTGGGTTCTTCCCAGACTCCAGGTGAAGTGGTCATTAAGGAGAGCAGCAGAATGGATGCTGAAAAGACACATCCAAGCTCCCTCTGAGCACTGAGCCCACCAGCCACAGAATGGGGAAACGCCCAGCCCAGCCCTGCCCTTCCCTGGCCCCCCACCCTCGTCACCTCCTCTCCCTCTTCCTGCCCTCCCCTCCCCCCATACAGTCTGATGGTAGCGCCTCTCTTGCTAGCCCTTAAGCGCTGTGGACAGGTGCACGGGAAGAGGTGCCCCAGGACCCTGGGCCACGGATATTTGTGTGTCTGCCTCTTCCATGCCTTTTGGGTGGGCAGCTCCCCTTTTTTGGCAGACACTGAGTCCAACCATATCTATTGTTCCCTCAGTGTGCCTCCCTGGACATCACAAGCACCAGCCCGGGTAGTCCGGGGCTGTAGGCAGAGACCTCACATCCTACCCAGATTACTGTAGTAGATACGGGAGGAGACAAGTTGCATTCCTTCCCTGGCTTCTTTGCTCACTCATCTTTTCCCACTGGCCATACGTCCTGCTTCCCTTGCCCCTGCAGTCTCTTCTTCTGGGTTCCATGTCCCCCAGATCCCCTCACCCCCACCCCAGCCACCAAACCACCAACTCATATTCTAGAGCCCACCATGCGTTCAGTTTCTCTACTTTAGAAACACCGCTGGAGAGGAGGGGCAGCTAAGAAAGCTCCACCAAGAGCCCACTGTCCTTTCACAGTCCAACATTGCTTCCTGGAGCACAACATAAAGCGGGAGGAGACAGGACGGGGATGTGTTATGCTGTGCTCCAGGAGGTGGGATTATAGGTGAAGTTCTTTTTATACTTCCCTCTAGTTTTTACATTCTCTAGGTTGAGCATGTACCTTTTAGAATAAGGGGGAAAACAGCAAATTTTTAGAGGGAAGGTTGAAATACAGCTATTCAAACCAGGGCCAGGCTGGAATCCTGCTTCACACTTAGGAAAAATCACTTAATTGTTCTAAAGTTCAGTTTGCACATTCGTGAAATAACACCTACCTCACTGGTTGTTGCAATGCTTAAACGTAAAATGCTAGGTTCATGGCAAGCGCTCACAGATTGGCAACTACTCGTGATACTTGTGAGTTAAAACTACAACCACCAGGACTCGAGCCTACATTCTCTCTGCCTCTTGGCACCCAGGTGTGGGCAGGGAACCTGCCTCTTAGACAGAGTTGCCCTTTCCTTCCAAACCTCACATTTTTTTTTTCCTTTCGTAGGCTATGGAATGAGTGGACGGTTGGGAACCTGCACAGTCAGTAACTGTCCTGAATGGTTAGTTGGGTTGGTTGAGTGAGAATGCGAGGGCTTTGAAGCAGTCTTTCTCCACCCTTAAGGGCTACAAACAAACTTACAACATAAAAATCTTTTATATGCTGAGCCAGGCGCTCTCATACCGGGCCTCCTTAGCAGCAACCTGCTTGGCGTTAGGCATTTGCAGCATCCAGGTTTCCGTGTGGGCGCTGACAAATGGTAGACACTTCCTTCCCTCGCCAGCAGGGCTCTCTCGCGGTCACTTCCCCCAGCCCCTCCACAGCTAGAGGCCCACAACCCCTCCCCAGAACCACACGAAGCCAACCAGAGTGAACCGATCGCAGCCGGCGCTGTACCGGGTGCTTAGGGGCTCGCAGGAGAGTCGCGAGGACCAGCCTGTTCGCCCACCGACGGCAGCGGCAGCAATATGGGGCTTGGGGTGGGGATCCAGAGCTGGGGGAAAGGAGTCGCTGCACCTTCGCGGAGCGACGGTTTGCAGTGTCTCAAGGTGGAAGTTCCTCCCCCTGTCTAACCTGCAGCTCCCCTGCATCAGAGCCCTGGCTCAGCCCGCAGTCCCACCTGGATTGCGCGGTGGATGGGCGCTCAGACGCCCCCGCCGAGGTGCGGAGCATTTTTCCCAGGGCTTCGAAGCCGGGCGGGCGCCTTCCACCACCCACTAGCCACCACCCTCCACCCTCCGCCCCCCGCCCCCCACCCACTTCTCGGCAGGCGCCCCTGTTTGCTCCTAGGTCTCCGCACCCCCTTCCATCCCAGACCCTTTCACTTACGGTGCAGCAGTCCATGCCGGTGTTTGGGGGGGCTCTTGGCTGGGGCGCGGGGAGGGGTGGGGTCTGTGTGTTTTGGGTGGGGGGGCTCTGGGGCAGTCGGGCGCCCGCCGCCGCGCGCAGAACCTGCGGCTCTCCTGTCGGGTCCTGTCTCCCGCGCTCCGCTCAGCTCGCGAATGTAACCTGAGCCCCGCGGTCGGCTAGCCAATTGGGGGACGCCTAGGGCAGGGTGGGCGGGGAGAAACGGGGCGGGCCCCTCCCTCTCTGGGCTGGCTGCGCCGCGCTCTGCTCCTGCCCCAGCCCGCCGCCCACACACTTCCATCCATCCCTCCTACACGCCCCATCCTCCCAAACTCGGCCCCCTTGCTGGCGAAGCGGCAGACTGCCGGGCAGATGTATCCCCGAGTAGGCAGAAGGAGGCCCTCTCCATGCCAGGCACATCTGGGCGCGCACCCCCTCCCACCTGCTCCCGCTTCCACCACCTAGCTGGAGTCCCGAATATGGCTCCCCCTAACTTCCCTCCCCCTCAGGCGGCTAAGAAAGGCTTCCTAGGACGTGCGGCAAAAAACATCCCACCGTCGCTCCTAGCGCGGGACGCAGAGAGCTGCTGGTGCTCAGCGCTGCGATGGACGCATAGCCACACACTAGCTCGCAAGCCCCACGTGTCCGTATGCGATATTCCCCAGGCTCGCTAACCGTGCCTTTTTTTTCCTGTACACAATCTGCAAAAACAGCCATACAGACACCCTACGTTATGGGCGTGTGCAGGAGCAGTCAGTCACCCTACTCAAGATGTTTGCACCATCTATGTATCCATCCATCTATCTATGGTCTATCTCTCTCTTTCTATCATTTACCTATCTCTATGCCCTGCACCAAACAAAATCCTCTGTGTACAACACCATTCTGTATGTATATAATCTATCCATAGAGATCTGGAGGCACAGCCTCCACCCCACACCCCTCTTTTCTTAGGAGACTCTGCTTAACTTCTTGATCCATTGCTTCAGAATAAGACAAAAACTGTCCCCCCCTCCCCCACTCCCTCTTCTCCTCCTGAGACAAGGAACACTAGGCAAACCTAAGTAGTTTAGGGGATTATCGGGAGTAGTTGGCTCTTTGGGTGCGAGATGAGGAAGGCTGTGGGCTGTGGGAGAGGCTGGGAAGGGGAGATAAGGGAGAGGCGTCCCAGAGGGGCTTCCTCCTGGTTGTCAGAGGCCCAAAGCTGGCACGGGGCAGGCTCTGTTGCAAGGTGGGCCATCTCTGAGAAAACCAGACTGCAAGGCTTTCTCAGCCAAGATGCCAGAGGTGAGAACGAGGCAAGAAGGGCTGATCAGAGCTTAGGAGGGGAAAAACGCCCCCCACAGCTCCAGGCAAGACCCAGGGTCTTGCCTTCATGCTGTAGGGAACACACAGCCACTGGCAAGCCATGGCACGGCCGTGGCGTGCTCCCTTCCCACCTGAATGTTCGGGCCAGAGGTTTTCCTTGCCAAGTCGAGAACTTGAGTGGTAGGGACATGCCAGTGTCCATCTGGATGGGGAAAGTGTTGGCCAGCTTGGGGCCAGCTGAGCAGAATGCTGGGTGGGATTCCAGGGCATGGGGTGTAGGGGTGTCTCTCCCAGCATGCTTGGGACTCACCCACCCTTGTAACTGAAAATCTGTTCCCCAATCTGTCTCTGGCACATCTTCCAAACCCCCCCCCACCACCACCAAATGGCAGGATGTCCTGGGGACTCAGGCCGTTGCCTTAACCATGGGCATACCTGGGGCCTTAGGTTGTCCCACTTCCCCCTGAACTTCATCTCCAGATCCCAGAGGGGAGAGGGAAAGAAGATTTTGGACGGTCGAGTGGATTCAGGCCTGGGCTCTGTGCTTTTTCCTTCCCAAATTAGAGCTGAGGAATTCGGGATTTGGTGAGTTTGCAGTAAAGTCTCCCGAGTTGCTAGGCAACATCCCTCTGCAGCCTGCACTGCCTCTGGGCCCTTCTTCCTGCTGGTCAGAGCTGAAAGGGGGGGTGTCTTTACAACACCCCCCCCAAACTCCCACACAGGCAGCACAGCCCTTCCCTCTTCCTGAAACACCTTTGTGTGGGGGTGAGGGTGTCTGTGAGCACTGGTGGGCCCTGGGGGAAAGAGACGGCTACCGTCAGCTCCACCCTCAAAACAACCCTTTCAGCGACAGCCCACTTGAGGCGCCTACGCAGAACTGGCCACAGTGCTGGCCCTGGGGGATGGGCAAGCTCTGAGGTGAGGAAGAAGACAGAGACCAAGGCAGGGCCCGGAATGAGAAGACAGACACTCACACAGTCAAGCTCCAGAGGCGGGAGCAGCCACATAGATGGCTTCATGTAGGTGATCCGTGCCCGTAGGCGGAAGGCACGGCATGCAGGGACTCACACCCAGAGCAGGTTGTCGCCACTGCTGTCCCATTGCACATACTCACCCCATGAAGAGGCCCCTGGAGTTTGGCAGCAAGAAAGCTGACGTCAGCCCTAAGCCCACGATTGTTGACTGGGTGAGCTTGGAGAGGTGGCAGGTGCACTACGGGATGCTGGGATCCGCTGGCTCTGCGGAGTGATGCCAGATGATCCTCCCCACAGCTGCCTGCCCGACCTGGGGTCTGGATGCCACAGGTCAGCTGTCAGAGTTTTGCCTATTAGCCAGCTGGGCTTGGACACTCTTGTTGCTTTCCTTCATGTCCAACTTACAAAGCTCTCCTCTGCCCTTGCCAGCCCCTCTGGCTACTTAAGGAGGAGAGCTGCAGGCCTGTCAAGCAGCTGAGCTTTGGAAAACCTGGGTTAGAAAGGGCCAGCTCTGTGGCATAGTGGGCTAAGCCTCCACCTGTGGCTTCAGCATCCCATATGGGCACAGGTTCGAGTCCCAGCTGCTCCACTTCTGATCAAGCTCTCTGCTACGGCCTGGGAAAGCAGTGGAAGATGGCCCAAATGCTTGGGCCCCTGCACCTGCATAGGAAAACCAGAAGAAGCTCCTGGCTCCTGGCTTCCGATCAGCCCAACTCTGGTCCCTGGTCTAGCCATCTGGGGAGTGAACCAGCAGATGGAAAACCTCTCTCTGTCTCTCCCTCTCTCTCCCTGTAACTCTACCTTTCAAATAAATCTTTAAAAGGGAGCTGGGGCCTGTCAGTGCAGGGTGCTCGAGTCAACAGGAATGTGGAAGTAGACAGGTGAGGAGTAAAAGCCACGGCAGGCAGGAGAGGAGATGGTAGCAGAAAAAAGAGAGGATGAAAGATGGGTTAGCAGGAAGCTTCTGTGGTCCTCCACCTATCCTTCTTGGGACAGATGGAGGGGGATTTGGAGTGGACTTGGTCCTAGTAAGCAGGGAGAAAAGCCAAGGCATGTGACAGTCTATTCGCCAATACTCATGGCTTCCCCTCCTCAGAGTGGGCACTTTCTGAGCGTGATGTCTCAAGCCCACAGAGCGGCTGCGTGCTGAGAAGAGGATGGGAAAGTAGGAGGCCTGTGCCTTTGTCAGAGCTGATCTGGGGGCTTCTTAGGTCAGGATTTCACCCGATTGAGTGGAGGGGGTGGGGGTAGCAGGAAATTCAGTTTTCCCTGCAAATATTTCAGCTTTTGCTGTCGCAGTATTTTTAGCAGCCTGGTTGGCAGAAGAGGAGCCTGGGTACATTTTTAAAGGGACCTCTGCCAGACTGGAGGCCTCTTTCCACCCTCACCCCACATGTTAGAAGGAGAAAGCAGGAGGCCCGAGGCAGACGGTACATTCAAACTGAAAAATCAGGTTTGTTGGGGCTTAGGTGACCATCTTCACCCCTAGTCCTTTCCAGGCAACAACAGCGTTGTCGTTGGTGGCAGCGTTGTCAAGAAGAGTAAATAGTGGAGCCTCTGCTGTGTGCAGGGTGCTGCCAGGAGTACAGTACGAAAGGCTCGATTTCATATACAGTTGGCCCTCTGTGGATTCAGCAACTGTAGATTGGAAATAGCTGGAGGAAAAAAGTTGTCTGTACTGAATATGGACAGGCTCTCCCCCCGTTAGCCCCTAAGCAGTATAGAATCACAGCTAGTACATAGTGTTTACATTGTGTTAGGCAATGTAAGTAACTAGAAATGGTTTGCTGTGCACAGGAGCTGTGCATAGGCTACTGTGGATACTGCATCATTTTATACAAGGGATATGAGCATCAGCAGGTTCTGGCATCTGCAGAGTCTTGGAACCAATCCCCCATGAGTGGGGTGGCGGCGGCGGTGGAGGAGGGATGACTGTGCTTGGTAAGGCAGGGGACAGAACCAATACCATTGAGTGAGTACTAGGATAACTCTGAAGAGTTAAAGACTGTGTGAGGAGGCATTGTTATTTTCATTTTATTTTTTATTTTAAAATTTATTTACTTATCGATTTCGTAGGCAGATCCACACAGAAAGAGAGGGAGAGAGGCAAGGGAAAAGAGAAAGAGAAAGAGAGAGAGAGAGAGAGAGAGAGAGAGATTTCTTCCTTCTACTGGTTCACTTCCTAAATGGCCACAACAGCCAGAGCTGGGCCAGATCGAAGCTGAGACCCAGGAACTCCATCCAGGTCTCCCTGGATGGAGGTGGGAGGGGCTCAAGTACTTGGGCCATCTTTCCACTGCCTCCCCAGGCTCATTAGCTGGATTTAAAGTGGAGCAGCTGAAGTTCCAATCAGCAGCCTGATATAGGATGCTGGCATCATAGTTGTTGACTTAACCTATGTACAACAATGCCATGCTGGCATTAGTATTTTAACCCATTTTTCCTAGTGGGAGCCTGAGGCCTAGCAAGGTTAAATGGCTTGTTAGTTGTCCCGTCAGACCCCGAATGAAGTGCAGAACTGGGTTTAAGACACAAGAGTTCTGACTTTGAATTCTGTGTTTTCCCTCTAAAGGCTCCCAGAACTTGGAATCAGATAAAATCCCTTTTTTTCCCCTAGACTATATAATCTGATCCAAAAAGATGTATGCGTGTGTGTGTGTGTGTGCGTGTGAAATAATCAGAGATATATGTCAAATGAATGATGCAGATAGTAAATGTTATGGGAGTTGAGGTGTGGGAGAAATGCATGGGAATTTGGATGATCAAGAAAGACTTCCGGGGCCAGCAATGTGGCATAGTGGGTTGGGCCTCTGCCTGTGGCACCAGCATCCCATATGGGCACCGGTTCTAGTCCTAGCTAATCCACTCCTGATCCAGCTCTTTGCTTAT